TTGCTTGCTGGTTTTCGTAATGGAGCTTCCTCGTTCATAATGGATCTGGCGATACCTTTATTATAAACCTTCTTACGAATCACTGTCGTTTTTTCAACAGATCCAAAAATGAATGCAACGACCGGATAAAACAATATCTGGTGTGCAAGAGAAGAACGGAATGTTTGCTTTGCAAAATCACAAGATTTCGCAGGATTTTCGCGGTGCGCTTAGAGAAAGTGGCCACTGCGAGAGAACTACAACAGCAAATGTGACTGTTCCAAGCACATGTTAACGACATTAACATTTAGTTTAAGTTAACATTTAGTTAACATTTAGTTAAGTGCGGAGATTACCTCCCAGTGCCGACATTCGCAGCACTTACCCTACTAATAATATGATTTAACATACTGTACAGTATAAATAAATAATAAATAAACCTTTGAGCCAGGAATCATGCAGAAGCAGGGATTGACCGCATCGTGCTTGTCTGAGGATGCTGGGGATGTCGAGGGCCTGGAGGTCCCTGGACATCCTTTGGCATCGATCCGGATGTTTCAGGATTGCCCTCACGGTCGAGCTGCACCGGAGAATCCCGAACTGCTTCCTCACCATCCAGACGAAGGAATCCATGCCTGCAGGCAGGGCAATATTGTACATCCATCCTCGACCTTTTCCCGCTGATGGGCAATACAGGGCAATATTGCTCAATTTTTATCCATCCTCAAAATTTTCATGCGAATGTAGACACAGGGCAATATTGTCCAATTTTTTTTTCTCCATCCTCGAAATTTTCATGGTCGACACAGGGCAATATTGGCCATCCCCGATTTTTCTCCGTCTCACCTTCCAGGAACTTGCCCTTGAGCGCATCCCCCGGCATCTGCTCCACGAGTTTCTTCACCAGCTTCGGCGCGATGTCGAGGAAGGCCGAGGCGTCCTTCACGTGCGAGGACGACACTTCCTGCAGGCCGGGCGGCACGAGGGCGTCGTTCAGGACCAGCAGGAACTCCTCGTTCTGCGCCGCCAGGAGGGCGCTGATGAAGTCGGTGCTGTTCATCGCTGGGAGGCGCTGGATCTGCTTCTGCCAGCACCGCATCAGTTCCCCTCCCGCCTGCAAATGAGTCCGGGATAAGAAACGGTCTCCAATTTGAAAACTGTCCCGAAATTGAAAACTGTCCCGGAATTGAAAACTGTCCCGAAATTGAAAACTGTCCCGAATTTGAAAACTGTCCCGGAATTGAAAACTGTCCCGAATTTGAAAACTGTCCCGGAATTGAAAACTGTCCCGAATTTGAAAACTATCCCGGAATTGAAATCTGTCCCGAATTTGAAAACAGACCCTCTCAAAGTGTCCCGAAGAAATCAAGTCCAGCACGGCCCGGAATCCCTCCAGCTGCACGTCTCTCACGTCCCGCAGCAGCGCCGCGTCCACCCACGGCGGGACGTCCGCGACCGCGATCGGCGCCAACTCGCGCCGGCCCGGCGCGAACCGCTTCCCCGCGCCCTCCCAGCGCAACTTCGTGCCCGAGAACCGCGTGAGCCCGGATCCCGTGTAGACGGGGCCGAAGTATGGCGACGTCGGCTTGATCCCCAGCCCGTAATAATGGTATCGGCTCAATCCCCGCGTGCCGAGCCGCTTCGTCGTGATGTTTGGGAATTTCTGCCTCACCATCTAGAAACAAAATTGTAGGAAAAAAATGCCGGAACGAAATTCTAGAGCGGAATTTATTTTCGATGGTGAGAAATAGGAAAAAAAATTCTCCCACGCTCTGATGAGGTCGAAATCGGATAATTAATGAACCTCTCCTACGTGGACCTGGGATCGTTTCGCTGTCGTGCAATGGATGAACTATGAAATGGATGAACTGCAGAATGGATGAATGAAGTCATTACTTCATCGGGTAACCGCGAGGTTGCATAACTGCGGTATGAATAATTCCCATCACGAAATTCCCCCTGCTGCGCATCGACGACACTCGAGAGCGGTAAGGAATTATTATTATTGGAATTACAATAAGCATTTAAAATAATTATTAAATATGAATAAAATGTTGAAAGACCTGACCTTTCCGAAGGTCGCAGGGCCGACGGGCTGAAAGGCCTGAAGGTCGCAGAAGTGGACGTATTGCTGGTAGATGATGTTCCTTGGGACGCAGATGCCGTCGGTCGTCTCGTAGTTCTCGTCGATCCTGGAATTCGAGGGGATCCAGGTCGTCGCGGGTGTCGCGGGTGCCGCGGATGTCGCGATTGTTTGGCTTGGAAGTTCCTGGCTCGGCGCGGATGTTGACTGTTTTATGGTTCCGGTGACGTAACGCGTGTTTGTGATGTGAAAAGCGGACGCTCAAACCGCGTTTTCTCGAGCGATCCGGGCATAACAGGGCAATGTGGCATTAACAGGGCAATGTGGCACGGAGAGAAGAAGGGCAATCTTCCTCGCTGCGATTCCGCACGAAGGAAAAGTCCGCGACCTGGCTGGAAACGAACGAAGCGCGTATATCTCGCAACTACGGCAAGATGCCGCTGCATCCGCCGAGGCGAAGCAGCTGGCTTGCGCGAGGCGAAGCAGCTGGCATGCGCGAGGCGAAGCATCCCCGACTGCCGCAATTCAGTCGGAGCGAGTCTGAAATATTCCAGAAAGCATTGCAAAAAACCGAAGCGTCACCATCAACTTATTTTGCAAACTTGCAAATTTCGCAAAATTCCCACGGGCAAAAAAAAATACCTCTCAAAAGAAATCGCGACGGAACGAAAAAAAAAAAATTCAAAGGACATCCACATCCAAAAACCACAGCCCCTTCGAGCGCCGATGGACTGATTGTTCGACGGGTTCAATGACTCCGTTGTGCGAGCTCCGACGCGAAGAGCTAACGGTTAAATCGAGATATTTCAGATTTGAAAAGGAAAGCGCGATTCCCGATTATTTCCGCCAGAGAAACGGGAGACGCATTCATCCTGACATCCCACGACAACCCACGACATCCCGCGACATTCCGTGACATTCCGTGACATCCCACGACAACCCGCGACATTCCGTGACATTCCACGACAACCCACGACATCCCGCGACATTCCGTGACATCCCACGACTATTCCATAATATTCTATGACATTCCATGGCAACCCATGACATTTCATGATATTGTATGACATCCCACGACATCCCACGACTTTCCATGGCAGTGCCCTGATTCGCATCGCTTGCCCTAACCTCCCACAACTGCGCGAATTAACCCTGCGAACTCCTGCGCCCTCAATCTGATTTTTTCCCAGGCGCTCACCAGAGAAAAGTGACTCGCGCCTGGTGCTCCTTCGGCATCGGCGACGCCCCGGAGTCCCTGCAGGGGACCGCGCTCATTGAACCGACACGGAAGATCGACACGGAGGATCGACCCGGAGGATCGACACGGAGGATCGACACGGAGGATCGACACGGAAGATCGACACGGGGCGAAGGGCGGCTGGGAACTGCGAGGCGCGCTTCGCAGG